TTTCACAATAAGTAGCCGTCTGTCCGCTAACTGAACACATCTAGTGAAGGAGAACCCACCATCTCTCTAGGTAATTGGTTTCATTGTCAAAATACTGCTACTGTTAGGATGTTTTTGTTAACATTCAACCATAATTTGTCCTCCTATGACTTAAGTCACTAATTCTGTACCCTGTGCTCTGGGATGACAGACAACAGATCTTTCCTTTCTTTTGTGTGATATCTTTTCAGGCACTTAAATAGAGTTATCAAATTCTCATCCTCCCCTCAGTCTTTTCTTCTCAAGGCTAAATGTTCCCAGATCCTTCAGGAAAGATCTTCTAGGCCACAGATTATCAGAGTTGCTCCTCTCAATATATCTGAATGTTTAAAGTCTGGTCCCTAGGACTGGACTCAGTTCTCCCAGTAGAGTGAAACTATTATTACTTCTCTGATTTACAAAAACCTAAACCTGTTGCGACAACCTAAAATTTAATTTGCCTTTTTTTTTGCATCCACTTCACACTGTCAAATTATATTCCATGTGCAACTAATTATACCAAGAATTTTTTTTCACAAGTACTAATGCCAAGCTGGGAACTTCCCCAATCTGTGCCTTTACATTTGATTTATGTTTGCTAAGTGAAGAATTTTGCATTTGTCTCAGTTAAATTTCATTCTGTTATTTTCAGCCCTTTATTTTAAGCTATCAAGTGGGTTCTGAATTTTACTTTTACCTTATAGAATATTAGTTATCCCACTCAATGTTGTATTAAATGAAAATTTGAGAAGTGTTCCATCTACCGCCCAGAGTCACTTCCTTGTGAGATGGGCGGTGTCTAAATTTGAAATATAAATAAATAAATATTTTTTAAATTTAAGTAATTAATGAAAATTTTGGCAAATCAAGTTTTAAAAGAAGTAATGTTCTGAATTTTACTTTTACCTTATAGAATATTAGTTATCCCACTCAATGTTGTATTAAATGAAAATTTGAGAAGTGTTCCATCTACCGCCCAGAGTCACTTCCTTGTGAGATGGGCGGTGTCTAAATTTGAAATATAAATAAATAAATATTTTTTAAATTTAAGTAATTAATGAAAATTTTGAGGAATACGGGGCCAGGATGAACCTGGTGGTATCCTACACTCTCCAGTTTCATAGTTTTATATGATGTGTCAGTTTTGCTAAGCTGTATGATAATTTTAGAGAGATTTCAAAATAGTAATGGAAGTACCTTAACTGTTGAGATGGTTATGCTAATCCATTTTCTGAGAAATTAATGCATATTGACTCAGAATCATGTTTCTAAAATAGAATCTATTGAACATTCATTGTAATTATCTGCCAGGATACCTTTGTCTATGTAAGAACTGATCCTTATCAGGGATCTGCAAATCAAGTTTTAAAAGAAGTAATTAGTGATATAAATCCAAGCAGCAATTAATGAGAATCATCAATGGCCTCTAACTTGAGATAGGAGAATATTTCTGGTCAATGACAGTAATAAAATTTTGATTTGATATAATTTGTCATATGCAAACCTCTAGACGTCCAAAAGACTGTTTGCAGACAAGCTCTGATGTAAATTCCTAAATCATTCTCACTTGCTCTCAGGAGATATTGGCATTCTTAATTAAAATTTCACAAGATCGCCCAACCTCTTTCTTATCTCACAAAATTTCTGCCGTTTCAAATTTTTAAAAGATTGAAAGTAAGCACCCCATATCTTTATGGTTATGGATTAAAAAAAAATGCCCAGGCCACGCCTGCAAATCTTCCCGGGAACTGTCAATAAAGGGCGTTCACCGCGCCTTTATAAAGGAAAACGCAGAGTCACAAGAGCTCCTTCGCCTGGCCACTTGTCGCGGGTTCAAAGGCACGGTCCGCTCGCAGGAGAGGAAGGCGTGAGGCGACCCCATTGCTGCAGCCCACAGCCTGGCCTGGGGGCGGGCCCTGGAAGAAGTCGGCTCTGGTGAAGAGCGGCAGTGCCAGCTCTCCCCATGGGGCGCTACACGGGCCAGACGTGCCGCCTGATCTTCATGCTGGCCCTGACAGCGGGCTTCTTCGTGGCCGAGCTGGTGTCGGGCTACGTGGGCAACTCGATCGCGCTGGTCTCCGACTCCTTCAGCATGCTCTCCGACCTGATCGCTCTGAGCGTGGGCATCGCCACAGGGCGCCTCTCTCGCCAACGCCGACGCCGCCCCGCCGCCTCTTATGGCTCCGGACGGGCCGAGGTGGTGGGCGCCCTCAGCAACGCCGTCTTCCTGGCCGCCCTCTACTTCACCATCCTGGTGGAAGCGGTGAAGCGGCTGGTGAGGCCGGAGGCCATCCGCGATGCTGCGCTCATCCTCGTGGTAGGCGCGCTCGGCCTGGCAGTCAATCTCGTGGGTCTCCTCGTCTTCCAGGACTGGGGCTGCAGCTGCTGCGGCCGCCGCCGTCGGGGCTCGCCGCCCCCACCCCCGCCCCGGCTTAGCCACGAGGACGAGAGCCAAACCCGGGCCTTTCCTGGCAGCTCGTCCGCCTTAGAGGGGATCGTGAAAGAGAGCGACGAGGGCGCCCCGGGGGCTCTGAGCATAGGAGCAGCAGGTGCCTCTCGGTTGCCCCCTTCCTCGACATTCGCGGCGCCTCCCCGCCTCCCTTTCATCTGCCGTCTTTTCTCTGTCTCCCTCCAGCCCTCGTTCGCCTTTTTCCTTTCACCCAATTTCTCTTTGCCTTTTGGGATCTTCTCTGGTCATTTTTCATCCTTCCTTTCTTATTTCCCATTTGTCTTTTGGGAGGTGTGTTGATGGGTGTCTTTGAAACTGTTGATTCTATTCACTCTTATCTGATTATTCTATTTGTCAGCTCCTCTTTACTCCCCTCATTCTTACTTTTTGGGCCATTCCTCCTTATTTGAGCTACTAATCTTTGCAACTTTCTCTCTGCTTCTAGCTATGTAGGTTCCCCCTTCCCTTATTCTTGCTTTTTCCCCAGCACTTCCTTTTCTCTTCTTTCTTCTTTATTTCTATTTCCCAATAAATATTATTGGGAAAGAATAATGTACTGTATAATAATATACAGTACATTAATTATGTATATACAGTACATTATAGGTATCATAACGCATTGGCAGAATATAATATATGTATAACAGACTACTGCTGAATAAAGCTGGAGATATAATCGTATTTGCAACATTAAAGTAGATAAACTGAAGCAATCGTTGTGTCATTTAGTGTTTGTTTTCATGGTCCTTTGATACTATAAATCATTTTTCTAAACTACAACAGTATGGAAGAGATTGCAGATGCCAGGCTGTGTAAGGTGGTCTTTGGGAGTATTGTTAAAACAATCCCATTCCGTTTTGGCCATTGCCTTGTTGGCTTATAATTATAGAGCGTATGCAAGTGTGAGAGAGTCATAGGCAACTTGCTTGTTCTGAGTGTCAGTATTTAAGGTAAGTTGGTTTTGAAAAGATTTGTTTCTTTCTGTTTGTAGAACTTATACACAACACAGCGTTTCTTCTTTGAATGCAGGTGATTCTGCAGATACCGAGAAAAAGCCCAAAGAGGATGGGAAACAGAAAAAAGAAAAAAAGTCTGAAGCCTTGAACATCAGAGGTACTTTGGCAGGGATGAAGGATTTCTCCAGAATGAAGGAGCCATAATTAGAGATGACCTGTTCTTATTTATGGTTGCTGTCTATACAAGTTTATACTAGAATTTTGGAATCTTATGTATTCCAAGTAAATAATACAGTTATCCAAGCTTTCTCTTTTCATCTTCAGAGCTAATGTTTTCCTTATGCTTTGTTTCAGGTGTCCTTTTGCATGTGATGGGAGATGCTCTTGGCTCAGTTATTGTTGTGGTTGCAGCTTCAATATTCTATGCGCTTCCTCTGGATGAGAACACACCATGTAATTGGCAGTGTTACGTTGATCCCAGCCTGACCATCATTATGGTCTTTATCATACTGTCCTCAGCCTTTCCACTTATCAAGGAGACGGCAACCATTTTGCTGCAAATGGTTCCCAAGAGTGTGAATATGCAAATATTGAGTAAGTTGCTTTTGGACTGTTATGTCCCTTAAAAGCTGGTGTTGTTCTTGGAAATGATATTCTTGGATTAATACACCCACTGCAGCATTACATGCTCAAGGATCACATGGTGGTATTTCCTAGCAACATGACTCAAATCTTAGAGGATTAGTAAAAGGATGTAGAGTATTTTGAGAATAGGCCACGTAGCAGGAATCAAGTTGTTTGCAGAAATTCCTATACAAAGGTATAGACATTTGTAGCCCATAACTACTAATATAAATAGATTGGTTTATTGTTTTGCAGTATGGATCACAATACCCATATTTATGACATATGTAAATTGTTACGGTTGATTTTGTTTTTGAATTCACCCCTCTGAAATTGGAGTTTTGGAATGATGTTTGCTTGCTGAATCAATCCACATTTTGTATGAAATATATCAAGGTGCAGAACAATGCGATTCTTCAGTTTTTCTGAGGGATATTCTCCAAAGCAGGACTGAAAAAAAAAATTGATACGTTACAAATTGATACTGTTTTTTTTTTCAGCTTTATGTGGGTCATGCATATAAATATTTATTACTGGATTCTAACAAATGGTGCTGGTACCCGATACATATATATATATACTGTTATTTAGGAGGGTCTGTTTTTGAAATTTCACTTTTAATTCATTCAGTTGTTTTCAGAACAAAGTCCCTGTCACTGTTTTTCCAGGCTGTAGTTTACTGGGTCATATGGTTGGGTGATTTTGTGACTTAGTTCATCCTGGTACCCTCTAGTTCCCATTCAGCTCCCATAATTCCCAGACAATCTGGAGGATACTAGGCAGTGGAAGTTGACCTGCTTCTGCTTCTTCCAATGTAATTATTATTGTTGGCAAGAGGAATTTCAACAAGTCTCATCCAACAGGCTCTGTCTCCTTATTTCTTACTTGGAAACTATTGCACTATTAGCCAGAGGCAGACATGGAGTTAATGTTTCAGCTGGGGCTGCTTTCTGGTGTTTCAGCCCTATGTTTTGTACAGTCTGGAGAAGTTATGACCAGGTTCTTACACTCCCCATTCTAAGAGGCGTTCTTTGTGTTTGTAGCTGCAGTTAAATAATGAATGGAATACTATGGAACTTGGATGAAATCTGATTTGATTATCTCCTTGTTTGCATTTTTTCTTTTTCCTAGCAAACAAATTACTGGAAGTGCCAGGGGTTAGCAGCATTCATGAGCTGCACGTTTGGGAATTTGTCAAGGGGAAGAATATTGCCACGCTCCACATCAAGTGTCACTCTACTTCTGACTACCCAGTTGCTTCATACAAAATCAGAGAGGTGTTCCACGAAGAAGGGATCCATTCAGTGACCATCCAGCCAGAGTACCTAGACCACAAGAGTCCTGAGGTCCTGTGCAGTACACCATGTATCTCCAAATCTTGTGATCCTCAGTTGTGCTGCAGCCAGCAGGAAGCTTTTCTTTCCCAGATGAATGGTTATACTGAAAAAATAGGCAGCTTTTCTCCATCACTGAAGAAAGTCTTCCATAAAAAAGATGTCATAGAAATTCCTATTGAACCCATGTGGGCTGAAGACATGGTCAAAAAGAACAGTTTCTCCAAGGATAGTTACAAAGAAAAAAGTGAAACCACACCATATATAAGCAGCACTCAATTTTAGGCTCTTGGGTGAATGGATTCTAAGTTTTTTTTGTCTAAAAAAAAGGGGGGGCTTCCTTGTGCAAAGCTTCCTTTGGCTGAAAAAGAAGTAGCTGTTGGCAAGTGTTTGCCATGGTTCTGGGAGGCAGTATTTGAAAGCTGAATTCACAAGGGTATTCACAATTCACAAATGCTGTGACTAAAATGGATGCCCTTGGTGTCTTCTAAGGTCTAGCTGGAATGGAAAGCCATTTTCCTAATGCTGGGCAAACAAGCAATGTCATCCCTGTTTGCTGCCCTATCCCTGCAAAGAGAAAAGGATAAAGCATTTATCCAATGAGCAGAAGTGTCTTCTGCTCAGAGAACATGGACCCTTCAAACCCTTCTCTTAATTGTTGGTGTATGCATCTCGCAAGTGCAAACAGAAATCTCAGGAATGTTGAGATTTCCTTCTGATTTAATCTACTAATCAGGGTGCAGATTGCAAACCTTATTACTTTATGATTGTCCTGGCTGATGGCTATCTTTATCTTTCACTGAACTCTGTTTTTCTGTGTACTTGAAATAGATGAAAAGAAGAAGAGGAATGAGATAGGCCCCATGGGTTTAAGGAATTGTGTAACATGTCCAAGAAAGCAAAACAACCCTATGAAAAACAGGGATTTGTAATTTTGGTCCACAGAATTGGCTACAGGATATAGACAATTAGTATGGCTGCTTTCATGGCATTGAATACATGAGTTAAATCAGCAAAAGAGCCAATTAACTCACCCTTTTGTGATTAGCTTCACAAATGAAGAACTATATTCTTACTGAAGTGTGAATGGTGATATTCACAAGAATTTATTTTCTCCCCTTATTGTCTTCACATTTCCCTCATATCCCAGTAATTATAAAATGCTGGATTTTTTTTCTTCTTAGAAAATATTTGAAATAATTTATTGGCTCTTATGCCATGAGAGATAAAATGTGAGTTTTTCGAAATGTGCTTATGTCATTTGTATTTAACAAAGAAGTAAAGCTGCAAGAAGTAAGGATTTGCACTTGCCTTTAGGCATCATAGAACCTTACCTCTGAGTTTGCTTTATTAGAGTAATCCTAGGTGTACCCTGAGCAGTTCAGATGCTGTTTCTCTCTCTTCTTTTATAATATGGTGCTATTTAATGTATTCTTTTGGAATTATGGCACTTCCTTCAAGCCATTTTTAGGATTTTTTTTCACAGTGTGTTAGAATTTATTTTCAGGAGATCTTTGTCTTGCCAGCCTACTTTAAACCTCAAATCCAAATAAATGTACATAACAGTAAGCCCATTGTATTTCTTCTTTAAGGACTGCCCTTGACTCCATATAAGTGGTTGAATGAAGCTAAATGATGGTTGTCCTCCAGCTATCTTGGGGTTCTTTTATGTTTTTATTCCTTTATGTTTTTTTAAAAAAATTCTGTTTATTTATGTCTGATGTTTTTATATTGTGATATAATTTTAATTACATTATTAATATAATGTATATAATTAAATTATATACATAATTTAATGCTTGTAAGCCGCCCAGAGTCACTTTTTGTGAGGGGCCACTATATAAATTTGCTAAATAAATAAATAAATTTGGAATATCTTCCTGGAATATCTTACATCATTATTTTAGAAATTTCAGTAGGCAGCTAAAATTCAGATCATATTGTCTCTGGACATCAGAGGGTTTAGTCCTAATGAAAAAGGTGGGGATGGAAGAATGGACTGGTCTGTACAACTGCCTCCACTGAATGTAACTCACCCCAGTCCAGTCAGTACACTGTTTCTCTGGCTTATTTTTATGGACAGCAAAATGTAACCCTACTAAACAGATTCTGTGTAAGATACCAAAGTTGTGCTGATACTGTTGCATGTTTCTTTGAATGGTATTAATTTCACACTGCACTTTGGCAGGCTGAGGATTAGAAATTTAGATGCCTAAAAATGGGTAAGTTTTAATGAAATTACTGGCAATGAACAATGGTATAATCCATGAAATTAATGCTGCTGTTTGGAATTAATACTGCTCCATGAAAAATTTAATAGAAACACATGATTGTAATTACTGCCTGTGTATTTTTCTCTCATTTAACTTAATGTTTGTGTGTATGCATTTTTGTAGCATAAACTGGGATTAGTATGTGTTCAGTAGTAATGCTGTTTTTAATTTTTTGTGTGTATGTATGTATGCCTATTTATATTGCCTTAATATGAATAGAAATTTTCTTCCTCTAAAAACTACAATTACAATTTAAAGAAATACTTTTTCAAACTGTACTGCATGAAATATCTCCAAATGGGCAATAATGCTTTGTTTGGGGTGATAGTCACTGTTGTTTTTGTTGCAAAAGTACATATAGTAAATAAAGAAGTATTACATTGTTTTATAAATACAGATAATGCACTTTCTGTATTTTAAAGAAATCTTAATCAGAACATGGAAGATGAGGTTAACCAGACTCTAAATATACAGGCATGTAGCATAAACAGCAGGAATTATAGAAATCTACAAATAAAAAGGGGCACAATGATAACCAATTTCAAATACTGTATCAATGAAAAGGCCATTGCATTTATGAACACCTCATAATAGCAAAATGCAAAATTTTACCAAAAATTCCTGGGTCTGAATTTGATCCATTCCAGACGAGACCAAACTGAAATGTAAGCAGTGTTTTATAGCACTCTATTATCTCGGCCGTCACAAGTTATAGAGACCCCATAAAATTTGCACTTTCCAGAGAAGAAAAATCCATCTCTTGATTCTTACTATAATTTTGATCTGACTTTTCTCAACCACTTTACTATGTGAGTAAATGTGGCTGCAGTGCATCATGTATGGGCAACAGCCCATTCCATGTATGCCAGTGTTGTCCAAACTTGGCCACTTTAAGATGAGTGGACTTCAACTCCCAGAATTCCCCA